ACATTTCATGCTGTCTCTTTTTAGTCATTCGCCGCTAGATACTTGTCTTTTAGCCAAGCTACTGTAGCAGGCACAACTTGCATTCTTTGCTGAGCTACATTTCCTCAATCATTCTCTCGAACATGAGCACTGTGAGCGGTAAAATGATTGAGGAGAAGTAGCTCAGCAAAGAATGCAAGTTGTGTCTGCTACTGTAGCTTGGCTAAAAGACAAGTATCTAGCGGCGAATGACTAAAAAGAGACAGCATAAAATGTAATCATGCCCAGGTGATGTGGTCCGTTTCTGACCCTACAGCAAACAGTCAAATGTGCCACTAGACAAGATTTGGGTCACTATTTTCGTCACGACAAACAAGCGACTTTATTGCCTCGATCTGAGCTCCACGAATGACGAAAACACAAACATTTTTGAGTTATTCACTGCATCTTCATAACATTTCGGGCATATTCTGAGTCCTAGTTTCCAGTAGATCCATATTTTATGGCTGAAACCATAAAATACTTAAAAATTTTGCTGGATTGCAGTCAGTTCTTCAGCAAAATCTCTTCAATATCCTCGATGATTCCATCCGTGAACCTTGAATGAGAACTCGGATCAATTTTTTTTCGTTTTATTGTGAGAAACGCAACCTCCAGTCTTTGCATCACTTTAACCAAACGGACGTAATCAAGTTAGTTTATCATTTAAAACAATCAGAAGTGCTCACTAATCCATTTATCTTGAGGATATATTGTTTCCACTCTCATACAAGGACAGCTCAAGCGAAATTCAACATATTTTCCAAATGTTTGTTTCTGTAAAAGCCTTTTGGACCAATTATTCAGTTCTGATAAGATATATTCCAGATCCTCCCTTTATCCTTTGATAGGCATATTCCGCGAAGAGCGTCATTTCAAAACAAAATTTTATCAAAATAAGTAAATCTGAAGCCTTATATGAAATTTATGCACTTATATCACATATAAAAGGATGTTAATATGATGTTGTGTGGTCCTTTTATATTCTATCTTTTGTGTATGTATGCAAGCTCTTGTCACCCCGCATATGACCGATACTTCGCTCTGGGAGAGCATATGTTTTCTGTTTTTATAGTGAACAAGTTGTGACGAGAGATTGGCAAATTGGCTTCCTTTGAAGGCAGCACACCTTTCCGGTATGAAAGACTGAATATCAATTGTATCCATGCTTCTTATTGTGCGTACCTAAATTGTCATGCCCACAAGTACGTGCACATGTGCCCACGTGTCGAGGGGAAATTTGGTCAATTTTTGCTTTGGGATTCGGTACAGATTTTTCTTATTATCTTTTTCCCCCTACCCCCACACCACCTTCACCCCTCGTGCCCCTCCTTTAGCCGAGTCCGTAAACTAACCCAAAATAATCTTGAATAAACCTGCTCCAGGCAATCCTGTCGATGTGGTAACTCCCGCTTCCGTCCAAGGTCAGAGAGCCAGCAGGAAACTGAAGCGATATCAGAGACGAAGGAAAAGATTCATCTGATTGGTCGAGAAAACGGGTGCCAGGAAAGAGTCAAAGGGACGAAGAGAGGCCATGGAGGCTCGGAAAGTCGTTGAACCGTAAGAGGCTGTAACATTCCATTCGGGCGAGCAGCTGAACCTCCGATGCAAGTTTCCAAAGTCAGACCTCTTCAACTGCGTCTTTCGGCGTTTGTGCTCGCCCATTGCGTGAAAATCGAATTTTCATGAACATCCAAAAAAGGTCTGAGTGACATACAATTATGAGCATTATCCATTGCCAATCATGAATAGTAGTAATATCTGTAAAATCATATTTAGCTCATATAAACACTGACTTATAATTATTGTTCTACTTATTAACCGGAATAGAATTAGGTTATAATTTCGTCTTTATAGTCTCAATAATTATAGACTTTACACACCTTAAAATCCGCTGAAGTTTTCTATGCGAATTGTTCAATCCAATCGTGTGGTCGCCAGACCTACGGACCGAAAGCCTTTCTTCTTCTCGTTCTCCCAGGTGCCGCCGATCTGTATCAAACTTATAAATGCCTAATTAATACTCTGTCGCTTAAGATGATTTACATACTATGTTTTGGGGCAAGGATGCCAATGAGCCATATGATACCATTCACTTTCGCTTAAACTCCCCATGACGAACTGCATTTTCAACCTGCTTCATCAGCTTATCAGCCATTCCGATAGGATTCGAACTCTGGAAGAACACAGAGTTTGCTTTAAAAATACATTTTACAAAAAGATTTTTGGTTATACAAACTTGAATTTGCCATAAAAATCGACTGTGTTTCTCCCATTCGTAGTGTTTTGGCTTCGATAGCATCGGTTATTCCCGAAAAAATGGGCTTAGTCGATCTTTGAAGAGTAAGATGGGTTAATGAATAATGATGGAGGCAGGCCTAAAGATTCCATTACATTTTACATAACTTGTATTCCTTGTGAGACAATCAAGAAG